GTGTACATATATATATGTATATGTGTGTGTGTGTGTGTAAGTAGTAATTGCGACAGCGCAGACAAAGAAATTTGTCAAATTTTCCGGGCGATCTGCCCCTTCATCAAGACAGGAAAACGAAAATTTACATTTCATTGGTTGACACAAAAGACAGGAATAAAAAAATGTGATAGAAGTACGGTTAAAGACGGGAACAAAAAAACCCAGGACAAAACGGAACAGTAAAATTGGTTATGCTGGATCACATACTAGAAAAACTAGATTACGATGGGTATTACTTTAGGTGATAGATATAGGTCTCATAAGTAATAACGACCACAGTATGATCTGATATTGGAAAACGAAAATGTACGTGATTGTTCGGATCCAGTGCCAATATTGGATCATACTGTCGTTATTACTTATATATATGTGTGTGTGTGTGTTGTGTGTTAGTGTGTGTGTAAGCCGTAATAACGACAGTGCAGACAGAAAGAAATTTGTCAATTTTTCAGGACGATCTGCCCCTTTATGAAGACAGGAAACATGATTATTTACACATTACAACATATAACAGGGATAAATAGTCACCATGCAACAATTATACAATAAAAACTACATAAACAGGGTTACTCTTTATCTCAGTTATATGTTGTGATATTGAAATGTTCATGTCCCTGCCTTGATAAAGGGGCAGATCGCCCTGAAAATTGGGCAACTTTCTCTTTGTCTTCATTGTCGTTATAACTTCTTTGCCCGTATATCTATTTAAGTTGTTTGGATCATGTGCCATATAATTGCTCGAATAAACCCGTGTGCTAATATTGAAATTAACTACACTGCACGTGACTGACGTTACTCAGCCGTCGGAGTGAATGACTGATGGTTTTATTTACATACGTCTATCAAAAGAAAAGTTCAATGGTTTCATGACGACCATATCTAAAACAAAGACGTTGAAACCACATCTCTGCTCAAACCAATGATTGTCATGTCATAAAAAAACGTATATGCAAATTAATGAACAGTGATTATGAGATGTCAGTGATGCACAAAAACATATTACATTAAAATTAATTATAGGTCTCCGTGTATATTAAAACCAAAAATGGTAACAAAAACTCATTTACAATGTTGCCTTTCGGCCTTTAACTCTTTGTCGATTTTTCAAAGACCAATTGCTGATTTTTTATCAGGTTGTACTGATAACATTGACAATTCTTAGTGCATCTAGGCAGAGACGTATATACTAAATGGTTTAATTCGTTTCTTATCTAGGTAATATGATAAATAATGAGTGAATTACTCATAAATTCATTCTGATCCGACCTCGCTAAACGAAAGAACGCAAATGAACGAAGTCACGTAATGTATAAATCACTTTGCGTCATCGAAATTGTAAACTGATAGTGTTATGAAGGTTTGATATCTTGATCACGACTCCAAAACAGTTTAACCTTTTAATTATGAAATATAAGAAAGAATAGAAAAGAGATATATGATCCCACTTGATAATATTCCCGACAAAAGCCTGTATCCCTTGCAGTGTCTAACAGAACCGGTGTCACAGAAAGTAAATGTTACCATTGACCTTCATTTTGATTCGAATCTACAATTTCGCCCTCCCGGGGCCCCCCAGGAGTACAGGTGACCTATCGATACGCCTGCATGTATACTTTTCATAACGTAAATACTTCTTAGACGGGCCATATCAATTATAATGAATCGCCCATCAGTATCAATATCATTCAATTAATAATTCACACGATTCGGTTCATCTACATCAGATATTAAATTCTATTATCCACGAATTAGATTTAGTGTGCGTTGTTTATATAATGATATTGAAATGACGTATAATTAATTAAGAGTGAATCGAATATTTGGCGACAATAGAAAGTGATCAATAAAAAAGTTAATTGTTAACGATTGACATTTATTAAACTAAGCCGAGCATTTTATTGATCAAAGTCTTAATACTGTAACTGAAACCTCTAGGTAGATATGTATGAATTCACATTTCATTCTAAGGAAAACCATCGTTATAGACAAAATTGTCAAAATCTTCTAAAAAACTAAAATCGTTCTCGATTATGTTTTTTTTTTTAAACAGACATGTTTTATGCGTTCTTTGAACCATCCAACATATATTTATTAGAACATCAAAACGATTTGCTCAAAGAAAAGTTTAACTGGTGCAATTATCAATTTTCAAGACTCCATGTTGTAACAGGTTTTTGGGCAGTCCCTACAATCATACATAATGTGTTATTCCGATCAAGGGTAGCGTAATGTATAGCCCACTGGCCTTTTACCAAGGCGGCCGGGGTTCGATCTCCTGATCGGACGTGAAAAGGTATGCGATCACCTGCCAGACCAGTTGGGTTTTCACCAGGTACTCCGGTTTCCTCTCACATTACGACCCCCGCGGGCTAACAAGTGTGATTGATATAAGTTGAAATAGCTTGTTTCTCAATTGTTGTAAATTAATAAAGTTTATATTTATATTTAATGTCTTATTGCATTTTTATGGTACCCTCCCGACACTGTGACATTTTATCTTTTTTTTTTATCGAAATTAATTTTTGTTACCTCCAGTATCATGCACACGGGAAGTACATACACAATGGCTGATGATGTGCTTCATATGGTATTGATAGGGGAATGTCCCCGAAGAACGCAATTTCACCAGAATTTATTTCAATTCTCATGAGCTTTTATATAAGAGGTATACCGAAATTATTCTTAATCGAATGAAATCATACTTTTGATACACAGCCTATGCATCAGTTATGGGATACGGGTCCACTTAGGCCCGACCCGCCCACAACATTACGTAACCCGCATGTTGATGTTTTAATCAACAATTTGTTATACGTGTGATTCACATTTGAGTTATTTTATCCTTTTTTTTTCTTCAAAATTAAGTTGCATAACATTGTGTTTTGTTACTTACCTCAGAAGGGGGAGAAATGGGATGGGACAATGATCACGGATTGGTGTGGGATGGGGTTGTCCAGTGCTGACCACAGAAACAGGGTGGGGGATGGGGTGAACCAGTAGTGACACCTCCCCCCCCCCTCCCCCTGTGGGGGATTGGGTGGACCACTAGTGACCCCGACAGGGTTAGGGATGGGGTTGGCCAAAAGTGACACCACAGGGTTGGGCGTGGGGTTGACCAAAAGTGACCTTCACAGAGTGGGTACTGGGTTGGTCCAGTAGTGACTACAGCAGGGTTAGGAATGAGGCCGCTGGAGTCTGTTTTAAAGTCAGTTACGTATCAAGTCTCCGACCTAAACTGCTCAGGATTTGTACAAATAAGACATATCGAATTCCTAGTTTTCAAAGGGATAAATTACAACTTCACAGTCCCAGGTTTGAGTAGATTTAATTACAACGCGAAGTCCAACGTTTGTGTACTATTAACTACAACTCAGAAACACAGTCCATTTGAAGTCTAAATGTACATCTATATTTTTAAAACCTTCCCTTTTTTTTCTAAAAGCCAGCACAGCTCAACTGTCAATTTTTCATAAACAAGTTTTAACAGAATAACATTTGATAGAGATGTTGCACTTTCTTGTGAAACTTGAAGTAAAATTACTGTATTTAATTTTACAATTACAATTTTAAGGTAATAAAGAAACAGATTTAACAAAGATCAGAGGATGGGTACAAAACTATTTGTGATGTTACGGATGAATGCATTTCCAGTTTTAGTAGTGTATTTTTTCGTAATTACGAAAGTAACACGCACGGCGACACGAGGAGTGGGGAAACGTGTCTGGTTGGTCAGCTGAGCGTGACGCACCAGATGGTGTCTATTTCTCAAATCGTGTCAGAATTTCACTCACTTGCGAAATCTTTTGAAACTGATTTACCTGAAAAACAAATCTGATTAGGTGAACAGTTGTCCATTAATGAAAACAATTATCTAATTGAACATTATGTCGAGACTTAAACACGGAATTAGATAAGAGGGCCCTGCTATCTAAGTCAGTGAGACTGAAATAATACTTAAAGCTCGCGTGTAAAACTTATTTAAATTGTAACAAAAATATGACTAAATAATACGGTATGTATCAAAATTTATTAATCTGCATTCAAAAGATTAGCTAACTAGTCAAAGTGTATATTTTAACTAATAAATTAGCATGGACTAGATGTTTTAATTGTGTCATAAAACTAAAATGTCTTTAAAAAGGTTACACCACTTTAATATGTTTTAACTCTAGTGTAAAATTAATTCAACAGTAACAAAAACATGACTAAATAGAACGGTATGTATCAAAAGTATTGATCTGTATTCCTGAACTATAGTTTATATTAGTTATCAAATATATATGTAACTGGTTTATTAGCGTTACCTGGATGTTTAATTGTGTCGTAAATTCGAATTTCCAAAAATGTTACACTATGTTGCGGCAGTACTGTCTTAAAACTCACATGAAGAGTTTAATCAATAAAATTATTATAACAATAGTATATATATAAATATATATCTTAATTGTCGACTCATGTTAAAAAAACAGAGACCTGAGAATTTGTTACAATATCACTGTGTTTGAGCATAAAATAATGTGTTCAGAGTAATACCAGACATTTTAGCGGTTTAGATATACTTTCGGTACAAATGCTATACCCGAAGATGGCGTATGTAAATATTACACGTTTTATGGGGTTTAGATCAACTCTCCGTAAACAAAATACCACCCGAAATAATGGCGTAGGATGGCATTTTTTAACCGTTAGTTGATCGAAACCCCTTAAAACGTCTAATATAATTCTGAACAAATCAGTTTCGTTTCAAACGTTGTGAAACTTTGACAAATTCCCCGGTCCAGGTGTGGGGGAAAACAACGATATTGAGCAATCGATGTCTGTGGCGATGTGTCCAGTGTTGTGTTAAGCAGGTATATGCGTGTATTACAGGTAGCTGTTTCGGACCAGTGCCGATCCCTCTAGTACAGGTAGGCAACTCGCCAGAGCGTTAAAGGGCCGCTGTGTATAGGCAGCTCGTCCGCATACCTGGTTTCATTACTGAGAAAAACCTGCCACAGGTAGCACGTCCTCAGGTGAGAGCGTTACATACAGGTGTGCTACAATACGGATTCAGATACGGAGAACCATACTACTGGTGCGGCGCCGACTGTGTCCAATACTCAACTGAATGGCTATTTGTTGACATTTGTTTTACCCTTTCTGGAAAAATTGTGAAATTTATTGTGACAAATAACTGTTATTTAAAACAATTCTGTGAAAAATGTCTTTCATTTTTGGACGGCATAAGGAGAGGGATGCTGGAAAAACCCACAAGTTTTACGTGGAGTTCCTCGGATGGATAGAGTGCCAGGCTCTCCGAGGGAGGAAATATACAGATCCCGTTGTGAATGATTTGAGGAGGAAACAGAGGAAATGGAGGAACGCTCCCAAGTTAACGCTACAGGTGAGCAAGAAAGAGATGAAAATATCACAAGATATGGAAGAAAAGAAACGTAAAATAAGAACGGTCAAATTTCCTAATATTCCTTCAAGAGACATAACTTATGTTACCCAGGCAACTGACCCTAGTACTGGGAGACCTGACGACATTGTAGCGTGTATCTACCTCGGGTTCGTGCCGCGCACGCAGAAATACGTGCACGTGCATGTGTACAGATTTGATACACCAGAAACGGCTTCAAACTTTGTCCGGATAATGCACCATATCATAAGCGGCCACGCCGACAGAGTTCGGCAAATTGAGCAGGACCTGGCCTCTCGAGGCTGGATAGATGATACACGCTTGAACCGTTCGGACGGGCTGAGCGATCCACATACCTCCGACTCGGCTCCCGACTCCGGGGCCAGCACTTACAGCGGGGATGATGATACTCTACCATCAGATGAGATTGAACCCGACCTCCAGAGTCTCAAGGATGTTATGGCATTCGACTCCGTAACAGACGAACTCAAACAGAGGCTGAACCTCGGACCAGCCAAGAAGCCTACCGGACCGATTTTACTCCCGCCAAAAGATTACGACACCATCAGCAGACGACAGGGAAACCTAGATAAGGTGGACCTAAGAAAGTCTTTGAACATCAACATTGTTGGACAGGTGGCTTCACCTCGCCACAGAAACGGCTCAAACGAGAGTGGCGTCGACCTCAACTCGCCTTCAGATGATTCTGACGATGGTAAAATAGTTGAGCCGGTGTCTCCTAGTGAAGAGGCGAAATCCTCTCCGCCTCTTAGTGCAAGAGACATGGTGTATCCTCCTCGCAATGCCAATGGACTAAATGAATCGTTCCAACGACACTCGCCAAACAGACAACAGTCGTTTAACTCCGCGTACAGTAGCAATAGTTATCGGAGTGGTTCCTCGAATAACTCCAACGGACTTAGGGACTCTATGAATAATTCTGACGGGAGTTTCAGGGTCTACAAGGGCACCACGGATATCCCAGCAGCTGACTATGATAACGAACCTGTTATCATGAGACGCGAAAATCAGTGGCGAAGCACGGATATGGGACGTTCAGTCGCGTTTGCTCAGGATTATCCTGGAATGAGGAGAATCACTGCCCCTCAAATGACCGTTCACGAGGAAGACGGACCTATGTATGCTGTTGTGAACAAGCAAAGGCCAAGGTCAACACGTGACATTCATATTCACGAAGGATACTCCCCAAGGCCAGGTGACTTTCGAGTGCGACGGACAGTTTCTATGTACAATAAGTAGAAAAACTACAAAACACACAACAAATCGTGAAAAGTGTTGCCAAAGATCTTCTTTGAAATCCTGAAAGTGTCTGATTATTTCGATAGGAGAAAGGACTCTGTGATATTAACAGAACACTACCAGAATTTTTTCGTGTTTCGATTTGAGAATATTCACGATTTGGTGATAACATCGCGAAAGTGGTCCGGGACATATTGAAGCAATATATTTTACACCACCTTTCCACTGGTGGTGACTTTCGACACTCCTCTCAACCTCTCATAACTCAGAGCCGAGAGGAGTGCCGAAGTGGAAGCTGGTAAACCTTGGATTAGAAAAGTACATTCGATGTTCATAGAATTCGACAAAGAGGAATATATACTCTACATAGTGACGTCAGTGTCTTGAGACAGTTCCTTGCACGTGCTACTGGTCTCGTGTTAGGCAGTGTGGTGACGCTGTGTTTAAGATTAAAGTGGTCTGCACATGTATTGTAAAACGGCTGTATCAAGTTTAAACACCTGGATTTTGTAATATAAATTTATACATAAACATAAATAAATATTATAGAACTAATTATTTTATAAAAACAAAAAACTCAAAGGTGTTTAACCTGGATACAACCGGATCAGGACAGAACCACGGATTTTTGAACACTGAGAAGTGTATTGTGATAGTAAACGGCGCCTGTGTGGAGCTGTGTGTTCAGGCTAAAGACATTATCATCCGCATACTCAGAATATCTATATTACCTGCTAATAATCAATATCCACTGTGTGGCTGTGAAGTGAGAGAGAAAGAGTGTGAGGCTAGCGACTGTGGTCATTGTTTGGATTGGTGGTCAGTTTATTTAGGGTGGTCACCACTACATGTCCAGTTAAATCAAAGTTTAAAAGTTTGTTTTCGAACATCGACGCTGTTTACAAAAATATGTTTAAACTAGAAGTATGTTTAGTTCAAAACATATTAAACTGAATTTACATAAATTCGAACTAACATTTTTTTTACCAAGTTTGGATAAAATGTAACGAATCACAAATGCGTCTAACCGCTTACATTTAGTTATAATGTTTTTTTTTCAAGAACGTCTCAAAATTGGGCACACTTTTAACCTACTGGACATTGTAAGTGTGTTAGACTGGACATGCTGTAAGTCCCGTGCTGACCGGTGTGGTTAAAAGATTAGCGCGTCTTGAAGTTAATACTGATACAATAGCCAGGGTTTACGGAGACGTTCTTGGTCCGGTTATTAGAAATAATCCCTGTCTAATGGTTTAGAGTGAGACTAACCTATTTCGCACTCTTCATTAGACAATTTTAACGACTCTGACCCATATGTGTCTACCTAGAAATCTATTTTTTCAAATGATTTTAACAAAAAAATAGCAAGAATCAAAATATTTGTATACTTCTTGAATACATTTTACACAATTTTATACCTCATAGATTTAAATTAAGATTGCAATGATCGGATTTGTGCACAGATGTGCGGGTGACCCATATTGTGTCCCCCAAGTTTCGTTAAGGGTACTGTAACTCTGAGATGAATGACACCGGTGTAACTTTGAGATGAATGGAACCGGTGTCCTATGACGGTTTTGGAAGTAATTCGACAACACTTGTTACCCGGTAGATCCACACTTTTAAGAATATTATATTTATATATACGCTGTCCCACGGCCCTGGTTCTACGGTTTGGAACACCGCCAAAAATTTAAATGAGATACATTGTATTCAAAAAAATATATATATTAGAAAAAATGTCTTGTGTGCACGAATACTACAAACAAAAGTTATATAGATACCATTGATATTGATAATTATGTTTGACAGATCTAAATTGTCAGGGGATTTTAAAGTTGTGAGATTTGTTTTTGGTAACAGTGGGTCATTATTGAATTGTCCCTGGCGATTTCCGCGTGTATCTGTCGTTCCGATCGCTATATTTTCAAACAATGGTTACCGAAACATTACCGAACAATGCAAACAGGAAAACAACCAACGGGCCCTAGGAACTGGCCCTTTGTCATCAAAACCATACATTTGTTATATAATGAATATAATCTTGACGATTTATCTATCGGCACATTGACGTGTATCTATTTGACAATAACGGGTTGTTCTAGTAGTTTCTTAATTAAAGTCCGATCCAGCGGACAATAGGTCTGATTACGTTGTAGTTTAAATTCGGATTTTGGAAAATGCGGGGTTGGGTCACGCGCCAGTAAATTTCAAAAACTTTCACCTGCCCGTATCACCTGACATTTAGAAGCCGATCCCGGCCTACCTGTTGTTGTAACACCTGTATAATAAAACCCAATTAACACCTGTGAGGGGAAACTTATTTTAGGACAAATTTGTACTTTCTCCGTTAAAATTTTATAATAACGTAAATAAAATTTCCAAACATAATTTTGAGTACAAAGAATTTTAACATGTTTTCTGTGAAACTATTCAGAATATTTGAGTTACTTGAACTATAAAAACACTATACCTCGTTTTGTAACCTCGAGACAAACATCTTTTGATCTTAAGTGCTTCAGAAAATTGACAAACGACGATAGGCTTCATTTACATGGTATGTCAAAATTGCCCTCGAACAAAAACCCACGTCGCAATTACAAGATGGATAGTGTATGTTTAACTTATAAACTGGCCTATTGTATGTAGCACAAACATTCAAAGGCACACTGTATATATATATATATCTATATATATATATATATATACATATGTCATACAGTACAAATTCGACGTCTCAATATATTTTTTAAAAGTATAACATTTTTTCGTTTTCAACCTACTTTCATCTTCTGAAGGTATTCCTTGTAAATCAAAAGACCTCTCTGCCACAAAGTGTCTTCATGACTATATATGTGTGTGGACGTGTATGGAAAATATAGCATCACTTATAATCCTGTGTATTGCCATCTGTTGTGTCAGAAAGCATTGAGTATGATTATGTAACTATATCGTCAAAAAATAAACTTATTTATTATGAATTTTAAGAACTTGGGTATCTATTCATCAATTACACGATACTATATCAAATTAAAATGTATCAACATTTATGAAACCATATTTAGATTGCCGACATGGCGAATTATGTACATTGTTTTGTTAAATAATCGTTTGTAAGTAGATTTTGCCTATTTAATCTGCATTTTACCCTCAACTACAAAAAAAACTACATCTTGCGAATTATTTATTATTTCCCTTTCCAAGCGTGTGGGTGACCCATATGATTGAGTGACCTTAGATTTCGAATGTGACCTTGATTGAATACCTGTCTATGATAGAGTGCGAAAATCACGTTGAGGCGAGAGGATGGACGAGATTTGTTATTGTTATAAAGTTTGGTGTCTGGATGAGAACATGTATTTTCAGGGCAAACAGTACTTGTTATTCTTGTTTTGAAATAAATTTATATTTTATATATAAAAACTGTTTTCTTTCTCCATCTGTACTACTACCATCATCAGAAGTATTTTCTCGTTTACGGAAAATGCCGACGGTTCCCGATTGCCATTACCAGTATTGAACTCAAGAGTATGACCTATGACCTTCGTCGACCATTTACTCGCTATTGCTTCAGACCTATGACAGATTAGGATGTTTAAGAACAAACCGACTGGACGAAGTAAACAACGAAGATCACATCAATAGTTGTCTTTATTTCAAACTGAACATCCAGATAATAAACAGAACAAAACAAACAAACAAATAGAGAGCAATGCCAACATCCATATTACGATGGTAACTTTGACGGTAGCTTTTACAGCTTAGCAGTAAAAAGCGATATTTTATGAAATAAAGTGGATATTCAGTAAAACCTCGATATAATGCCCCTCATTTTATTTGCCACCTCCCTTACCGCCAACGAATTCCGAGGTCCCCTTTTTGTTTTTTTCTTAAAATTTATTTTGTACACTTCCCCAGTTTATCGGCAAACCTGTCAATAATGCCAACATTTCTCTGGATAAATTGTGGCAGTATAACGAAGTATTTTATGTACTTAAACCTCAATTGGCGATAAGTCACTGTTTCAACTTAACGTAAATATAACGTCACCAATTCCCGACGATGAAAACCAAGAAGGTACCTTCGAAAGTAACTTAATAGAAAAAATACCAGATTTAATTGTAGCGAAATATCAAATGGATGTTCCTTATCAGTCAGTATTTATTTCGTAGTTCCTAGTTCAACATTAAAACCAAGACATATGAAAACTCCTTTTTACTTCAATTTCATAATTTGACTAAATGTAATATATTGTTGGAAGAAACTCGAAAGGAAAAGGCTACAGTCAAGCATTACGTCATAAATCTGATGTGGAGTGCGTCGAATTTCAAAACGAATAACGCTAAAGCTTTTTATCACACAGAATTTTGTCCTGTTTAAGGTATCCTCGTGTGTTTGGTGCGGTGTTGTATGTGTCCTCGTGTGTTTGGTGTGGTGTTGTAGGTATCCTAGTGGGTTTGGTATGGTGTTGTAGATATCCTCGTGTGTTTGGTGTGGTGTTTTAGGTATCCTCGTGTGTTTGGTCAGGGGTTGTAGGTATCCTAGTGTGTTTGGTGAGGTGTTGTAGGTATCCCCGTGTGTTTGGTGTGGTGTTATAGGTATCCTCGTGTGTTTGGTGTGGTGTTGTAGGTATCCTCGTGTGTTTGGTGTGGTGTTGTAGGTATCCTAGTGGGTTTGGTGTGGTGTTGTAGGTATCCCCGTGTGTTTGGTGTGTTGTTGTAGGTATCCTCGTGTGTTTGGGGTGGTGTTGTAGGTATCCTCGTGTGTGCGGTGTGGTGTTGAAGGTACACTCGTGTGTTTGGCCAGGGGTTGTAGGTATCTTCGTGTGTTTGGTGTGGTGTTATAGGTATTCTCGTGTGTTTGGTGTGGTGTTGAAGGTATTCTCGTGTGTTTGGTGTGGTGTTGTAAGTATCCTCGTGTGTTTGGTGTGGTGTTGAAGGTATTCTCGTGTGTTTGGTGTGGTGTTGAAGGTATCCTCGTGTGTTCGGTGTGGTGTTGAAGGTACACTCGTGTGTTTGGCCAGGGGTTGTAGGTATCTTTGTGTGTTTGGTGTGGTGTTATAGGTATCCTGGCATGTTTGGTGTGGTGTTGAAGGTATCCTCATGTGTTTGGTGTGGTGTTGTAGGTATTCCCGTGTGTTTGGTGTGGTGTTGTAAGTATCCTCGTGTGTTTGGTGTGGTGTTGTAAGTATTCTCGTGTGTTTGGTGTGGTGTTGTAGGTATTCTCGTGTGCTCAGTGTGGTGTTGAAGGTATCCTCATGTGTTTGGTGTGGTGTTGTAGGTATCCTCGTGTGCTCAGTGTGGTGTTGAAGGTATCCTCATGTGTTTGGTGTGGTGTTGTAGGTATTCTCGTGTCCTTGGTGTGGTGTTGTAGGTATCCTATTGTGTTTGGTGTGGTGTTGTAAGTATCCTCGTGTGTTTGGTGTGGTGTTGTAAGTATTCTCGTGTGTTTGGTGTGGTGTTGTAGGTATCCTCGTGTGTTTGGTGTGGTGTTGTAGGTATCCTCGTGTGTTTGGTGTGGTGTTGTAGGTATCCTCGTGTGTTTGGTGTGGTGTTGTAGGTATCCTCGTGTGTTTGGTGTGGTGTTGTAGGTATCCTCGTGTGTTTGGTGTGGTGTTGTAGGTATCCTCGTGTGTTTGGTGTGGTGTTGTAGGTATCCTCGTGTGTTTGGTGTGGTGTTGTAGGTATCCTCGTGTGTTTGGTGTGGTGTTGTAGGTATCCTCGTGTGTTTGGTGTGGTGTTGTAGGTATCCTCGTGTGTTTGGTGTGGTGTTGTAGGTATCCTCGTGTGTTTGGTGTGGTGTTGTAGGTATCCTCGTGTGTTTGGTGTGGTGTTGTAGGTATCCTCGTGTGTTTGGTGTGGTGTTGTAGGTATCCTCGTGTGTTTGGTGTGGTGTTGTAGGTATCCTCGTGTGTTTGGTGTGGTGTTGTAGGTATCCTCGTGTGTTTGGTGTGGTGTTGTAGGTATCCTCGTGTGTTTGGTGTGGTGTTGTAGGTATCCTCGTGTGTTTGGTGTGGTGTTGTAGGTATCCTCGTGTGTTTGGTGTGGTGTTGTAGGTATCCTCGTGTGTTTGGTGTGGTGTTGTAGGTATCCTCGTGTGTTTGGTGTGGTGTTGTAGGTATCCTCGTGTGTTTGGTGTGGTGTTGTAGGTATCCTCGTGTGTTTGGTGTGGTGTTGTAGGTATCCTCGTGTGTTTGGTGTGGTGTTGTAGGTATCCTCGTGTGTTTGGTGTGGTGTTGTAGGTATCCTCGTGTGTTTGGTGTGGTGTTGTAGGTATCCTCGTGTGTTTGGTGTGGTGTTGTAGGTATCCTCGTGTGTTTGGTGTGGTGTTGTAGGTATCCTCGTGTGTTTGGTGTGGTGTTGTAGGTATCCTCGTGTGTTTGGTGTGGTGTTGTAGGTATCCTCGTGTGTTTGGTGTGGTGTTGTAGGTATCCTCGTGTGTTTGGTGTGGTGTTGTAGGTATCCTCGTGTGTTTGGTGTGGTGTTGTAGGTATCCTCGTGTGTTTGGTGTGGTGTTGTAGGTATCCTCGTGTGTTTGGTGTGGTGTTGTAGGTATCCTCGTGTGTTTGGTGTGGTGTTGTAGGTATCCTCGTGTGTTTGGTGTGGTGTTGTAGGTATCCTCGTGTGTTTGGTGTGGTGTTGTAGGTATCCTCGTGTGTTTGGTGTGGTGTTGTATGTGTCCTCGTGTGTTTGGTGTGGTGTTGAAGGTATCCTCGTGTGTTTGGTGAGGAGGTGAAGGTATCCTCGTGTGTTTGGTGTGGTGTTGTAGGTATCCTCGTGTGTTTGGTGAGGAGGTGAAGGTATCCTCGTGTGTTTGGTGTGTTGTTGTAGGTATCCTCGTGTGTTTGGTGAGGAGGTGAAGGTATCCTCGTGTGTTTGGTGTGTTGTTGTAGGTATCCTCGTGTGTTTGGTGAGGAGGTGAAGGTATCCTCGTGTGTTTGGTGTGTTGTTGTAGGTATCCTCGTGTGTTTGGTGAGGAGGTGAAGGTATCCTCGTGTGTTTGGTGTGTTGTTGTAGGTATCCTCGTGTGTTTGGTATGGTGTTGTAGGTATCCTTGTGTGTTTGGTGTGATGTTGTAGGTATCCTCGTGTGTTTGGTGTGGTGTTGTTGGTATCCTCGTGTGTGTTGGTGAGGTGTTGAAGAGTTTGTTTGGTTTATGAACGTATCTTCGTGTACTGGTGTGTTTTGTTAAGGTTTGATCGCTACTTTTGTGTGAGTTCGAAGATACATATAACTTTAGTATTCGAATTTGAAGGTATAAAAGCGTGTTTGCTCTGGGTTTGAAGCTACACTAGCATTTATACACCTCTACAATTAATCTAATCAAATCACCGTGTGCAGCGATACGTAAAAATCCTTGCAGAATTTATTGCACAAGCTGTGCGAAATTCATGCATACATCGTTGATACGGGTATCTATTGTAACCGTCTGGTTGACGTTTTAATAGTATCTTATAGGAAACGTCAGTTTAGTCGACTGATTTATAGCTGATCTGCCATCAGGTCTAGACATAACGTCTTTGATCATGAAGCATGCACACAATTTTAAATTTGTAAGTATAGGTGTTTAGCATTTTTTCCTCAATTTCAAGTGAAACGGGTTCAGTCAAATCCCGTTTTCGTTTTTTTACTGTATAAAACATATCTCAATGGTGAGGTTAAATATGTTGTAAAACCATCTTGTTATAAATATGTCTGTTTAAATTTCAATCTTTTATCATGTATGTATTAGGTCTCACGTGGAAATGTTACTATAAAGTTATGTAATTCGCATCACACAAGGCGGCTAGGGTACGATTCCCCGATCGGACATGAAAAAGTCCCACCCACCCCCACCCCCC